CTCAGAAAGCTTGACTTGAACCACAAATTAGGAAATACTGGAATGGGATCCAACTGAAGAACATGCCTGCACTACAGTACATGTACATAGCTATCAAAGCATCCCTCTGGGCAGTTCCCCCTCAGAACAGAGCTTTGGAAAACTAGAGGGTTTTTTTTCTGGAGGGCTTTTTTCAAACTAGAAAATTGTCATGCATTTGTGTTCTGTAAAGTTTCAACTCTCATACTCTGGCCATTTCTGAAAATGAGGTAAAAATGTATTGTTCTATCTGGCTTAAAAGTCTCAGTGCAGTTTTGTTGACAGTACTAAGTGCCATCAACCCATTACACACATCACAGCTGAGAACTTCACTTCTAATATTCTTCTGAAGGTGTCCTGTTCTGGCTGACTTGGATGTCATTGGAATAGCTAAACAATATGCACAGTTGGACCTTCCAGCTTTTGCTTTGGGGTGCCTTCTGCTGATTCCTCAGTCTGAGAAGCGAGCACAGCAAATTCAGGTACATATAATAAGTTTTGTGTTCTACCTGTGCAAGAGAAATGTCTTTAAACATGTTATGTTCACCAGAAACTGTGAAAGATGGTAACTTATAACTCCAGTTTATTTAAATACATCGTTGCTGACAGCTGCTTGGCATTTCCAACTCACAGAGGCTATTACTCTGAAGTTGTCCTTCTGAAAGGGGTCATGTGAGTACTTCCTCATGTCTGTTTTTTAAAGCAAAACCAGCTAGCTTCAAGTTATCTTCAGCAGCTTTGTCATATGACTGCCTTTTGTGGATTGGAGGATATTTTATGGGATCCCACCTATAAAACCTGGGAAAAAAAACCTACAGAATCCAAGCTGTAAGCACATTCCTGCCAAAGCAGCGTGAAGTTGATGATACAACTGCTGAGGAGCTACCAATGAGCTAGTTTCACAGCAGCCTGTAAGAAAAGTATTGAATCCTGCTTTGGAAAAGTGTTGAGTGAAAGTTCCTGACTTGATGTCACAAGTCTGATGTAAGCCTTTTGCCTTAAAGCCACATCCTCACTATTTATGGATCTTGACAGTTTCCTTTCCCTCCTCATTTGTTTCCACGAGTGTATGCTTGGCACTGTACTCCCAGGTGAAGCATTATGGGCTATTCCCATATTTGTCATGAGCAAACTGGCACTAGTAGAGGCACCTTGAATTCTTAAGGCTTCCAGTCATTAAAGATAAGCTCAGAAAGATTTTCCCAAATTACAGCATTTAGTTTGCTGACATTGTGTCAAAAAACTGCAACAGCAGCAATAAAAATACCCCTTGAGAGTTAAAAGCAATGAGTAGCAGTCTTTCAGCCTAACTGCACACATCCTGGTTTGATAATTTCATGTTTGTACCTAGCATTTCAAAATAGTAACTGTTCCTGAATAAATCAAATACTTGCTCTGAAGGGTGAGTTCCTACTTTAATCACTCACAGAACATTAATGATTTGCAACTTATTTTTGTCAAGGGTTTCTTATCAACTTGTAACACAGAAGCTGTGCTGCAACAAATAGATGAACACATGAGCACTGGAGAAGTAGTGGCATTTGCTCCTCAGGTAAATTTTACATCACTCACTTTTGATTTAGAGGCTTTTTTGATAGATAAGTGTACACAAAACCTTTTTTTTCCCCCCCTCTTGTGATCTTGCCAAGCATTGTTGACATAATGCACACTTGTAAAATGCTGCAGCATTTGCACTGATGTTGTGCAGCTGAAAAACTTGTTGGTTTCATACACACAGTGCTGTGTTATAGGCTGCCCCTGTTTGTAGGACAGAATTATCTGCAGCAGTACTACTTTATTTTTCTAAATAAATGTTTCAAGCTAAAAAGCCAAAGGGTTTAAGAAACTCTCTTGCCTTAGGTTGCCTTCCTGAGGGCAAGTTTCTTAACTCAGTCCCATATCTGAATCTTGGTCTTCTTAAAATCTGCCATTTCTTACCACAAAAATAAAATACATATATATAAATAATCCTGCTCTATGGGTGTCCAGTAAGAGAAATGTGAGTTCTCATTCAGACTTCTTGTATTTAAAATGCTAATATTTTGGTAATACTAAAACTTAAACCTACAGATTAGATCTTTGGTTTTGGACAGCATCATAAATGAGAAGCTATATGAAAAATTCTTGAAAACTAAATATTTCCCACTGGTGAAGCAACAACTGATGAATACTCACCGAATGAAAGAGCTGGTGGAATATCTTGCCAAAAAGAACTGGTAAGTTAATAAAAGGTGAAACAGATGCTGCAATACTAATAGCAGTTATAGAAACTGGGTCTCTCTTTTATTTTCATTTATTTGAAGTCATGGAGCTTTTCTAGCACTTAGTCTCCAGGAATTTTTAAAGCATTGCTAAGTTCAATAAATAAATAAAATAAAAACTTCACCTCACTACTTCACATATTGAGGATGGAACTGTGTTAGTCAAGCCAAAGAGATTCTTCAGCCTGGACTGGCAAGCAGATCAAATGCAGTTAAAAGAGCAAAAGTAACCTGACTCAAAACACAAACACTTTGACTGCAAATCACTTCACCTTACCTTCTGATGAATTCAGTTCAGCAGCACCACAGAGTCACAGCTTCAGCACTAAAAACATTCTGAAAAAAAATAAAGGAACTGCCTGTTCTTGAGACTTAGGAATTAGTGGGTTTCCTGCTGTTTTTCAAGAGTCAGAAATACCTCTTGCTACTAACTTAACTAAAACACAAAACCTTAGCCCTGAGCCTCCTGCAGGGCAATTCTCCATCAGCAATTTATCACTGACTCACAGCACTTGGGCTCATTGAGCACAGCTGCCAACTTCTACTGCAGACCCCAAAAGCTCAGTATTGCAAGTCACTCCCAGTTATCCTGCAGTCAAAATGGAACAGGAACCAATAAAGAACTGTTTAAATTCCACTATAGATTTGATTTATTGTCAGCCACAGGTTAAATGCTAGGCTTGTCTTCTTCCACTGGGAAATGATAGGACTTGTCTGACTTCAGAAACATGGCTGGGTCATACCTTACTTTTCTACTTCAGTGCACAAATTCTTGGCTTTATAGAGAGCTGAAGTTGACAAAGTTGATGAACTTTTGCCTCCTTCAGCATTGATGATGCAACAGCCCTCATTCAAGAATATCAAGAGAAATGTGGAAACCCTGCTCTGGCTGACATACCATCACCTGATCTTCTGAAGGTAAACCAAACCACTTTCATACCTCATGCAGTATCTTCTTTTTTTCTAAATGAAGACTTTCACTCAACTTTTAGCAAAAATACCTGTTGGCTGATTTATTTTCATAAAATATATTGTATATAATATTCACATATTAATGCAAGTAATTAATTTTACTTGAACCAAATGTGTGCCATGCCACATTCGACTTACTCTTTCAAGTCCCATCACAAGTCTTAGATAATATCCCATTTCCTAAGCCCTATTAATACTGTTCTCTTACCTTCCAGATGTATCTGAACAGACCAGAGACCTGTGTACTAGAAGTGTCAACAACAAGGTCTTGATGTGCCCTTTTTTCTCCCTCTACTGGCAAGATGAGGGCCAAGCATTGAGCACACTCATTCTGGTCAGGTGAACATTAAATTAAAACCACAGTATGCTTTTACCAAAAGCTGAGCTGAGCTTTCCATGTTTTTTTTCTATAACTTCTAGGCTGTTTCTTTTGCACACTCTTATTACCACTGAAGCAGTTTAGATTTACAGCAGAATTCCCTCTGTTCATATTCAGCACTTTGATTTTCAGGAAGGATTAGTTTGTTTATTTCTGTTTTCTCCATGCTGTCAGGACCATTCTTAAGATTTCATACAAACATAACCTTGCCTAATTGTGATAAACTTTTTTTCTTCCAAATTCTTAAGTGGTGTACTTCATGTAAAATATACTTTGTAGACAAATTGTAATTTTAACTACAGTGAGCACAAATAAACAGACTTATGTAACAATTTTGGCCTTACAGTATTCCATAAACTTTTTTTTTATTAAATTGTCAGTAAATAGATGTTCCACTCTGTCACTGACCTTCCCTGAATAATGTTTGCTAATGCCTTCTTCTCAACTTTGTTCTTTCTGTATGTCTGCAGCAGCATGAAGCAATAGGCCTGTTTCACTGCACGAAGCAGCAGTTAGCCAGAGGTTCCTGAGATAGCAGCCTGACATGCTTGGTCTTCTTCTAAGGTAGAGCATGTTTATTTGAAACAGAAGGTTATTTAGGCAGCTTATGACACAGAAGTAAGGGTTCTAGCTATCCCTTAGGTTCTACAGAAAGGCATTACTTTAACTCAGACTTCTGTAACAAATACTGCACTGGAAAAAGCCATAATACAAAGCCCAATACCTGCAAAGGAAACAGGCCACCATTCTAAATGGTCTTCTGCAGGTGGCAGAAGATAAAACTGGTTTTGTTGCAGAGTTAGCAGGCATGAGCAATGGGAGCTGTTAAAATACACCCAGTTCCCTGCAGTCATGAGGACAGCAGAGCCAACAGGTCCAGTCTTCTTGACCAACCACAGGCTTAGTCCTCAGCAGCAGCACGAGTGTTGGACAGAATCATGTTATTAAAGCCCTCTGCACATGGAGCAAAGAGTGCATATGGGTCGTGTCAGGTAGTAGCTGTAAGGGAAAGCCTCTCCACTGTTGATTTAATGAGACTGTCATTCATTAAAGTACAGTGGTGCTGGAAACTTCTTTGATTATAAAAATGCTGAAGTTGAACTTCCTACAGTGAACTTCCTGCTGTAAGTTATGAGCTGATTGTACTCTTTTCAGAATCTATCATTCCATTTCATTCTTTCAACTTAATTGGGAATGTTAAACCAAGAAAAGTACCAGCTAGATTCTGAAGCAAACACAACACAGCTCCAGAGCCCTCAATCTTTTTGTTCAAGCCTTTACAAGTATCCTTCAGAAGCCCCCAAAACAGCACACAAGCAACTACAACTGCTTCATCTTTTCCCCCCAAACAACAGCTCATAAAGCTCAGCTTTTCTATGAAGTGGAGTTTATTACAACATTAAGGAACAGTATTTAAACAGTTATTTTAATGGAATATTTTACAAATCAATTCATACAGAGAAAAGCAAACACCATGTTTTGAAGTTATCAGGAAGCTACATTGTTAAGCTGTTAGCAAGTAAGTGCAGTACTGTAAACTAGCAATCAAGTATTGTAGTAACTTGCAGTTCAGAATGAGATGGTAAAAATACCAGACAAGCAAAAAACATTTTTAAGACTTTTTGTACTCAATTCTTTCTACTTTCACATCATCTCCAATTAGTTGATAGACATATGTAACTACTGTAGAAGCCTGGATATCCATCAGCACAAATGAAGGAATGATGTTGCTGGAAAGAGAGGAAAAAATTCATGACTTGTGAGTATATAATCTCTTTAGCAAACACCACTGCAGAACAGAAATCACTCTAAGAAAAATGGATATGAATTTTGTAAGCACAGTGGATCTGAAGCTTTGAGTATTTAATCTCTTTCTGTCACAGAGATTTAGCATTTGCTATCAGCCCTCCCTCTCCCTGACATTTAGAACATTAACTTTCACCATGGGTTTTGCAGTTCAGTTTTTTAATCAAAGAAAATCTGCACAGATAATTCTCATACTTCACTTACTTCTCTAAGGCATGATAGGCTCCTGTAGCTGATCCTGGATTGATATAGAACTTGTTTTCATGTTCAAATGCCTCAAATTTGTGTGTGTGTCCTGAAATTAGGATGTCCACATCAAACTGCCTTTGAAGCAGTGCCAGGCTGGCCATGTCACCCCAGGGAATAACCTGATGGCCATGAATCAGCCCAATTTTGAACTGTCCAACAGTGACGACTTTCTGCTCAGGATAATTTAGGTTCTAAAAAGAAAAAAAATAATAAATAAAAACAGCTTAGATGTACAGATTTATATTTAAAAACAACTCTGCAACACCAAGAAGAGAGGGGGGGGAAAGCTTATGGAAATATTAAATACAATTGGCCCTACTGCTACAAAATGAGAGCTACAAAGCTGCTTTTATCAGCACTGTGGAGATTGTGGTGGGAAGGGAGGAACTTCAGAGATTTTTACAGCAGCAGGTCCTGGTCACTGCAGTCCCAGACATGTCCAAGGACCCAAATAATTCACCCTGATGTCAGATGGGCACTTACTGCACAACTCAAATTACTGACTGTGACCCAAATGCTTTTGCCCAGCTGGCTTTTCACATGCTCTACTACATAACCTCAGTCTGCCCACTTTGACTTGAATTACAAATAACCCAAACGTTGCCTTTATGTAGAAGATGCACCAAAAAAATGTCATTCTCAAGACACTACCTCATCAAAGTCTCCTCTGACAACATGAACGTCCCCAGCCAGAGTCTTGAGGTAGTCATAGGTGTCCTTGGTGCAGAGGTTGCCCGTGCAGAGGATGTGTTGGATCTTGCCTGGAACCAGCAGTTTTTTGAATTTGGCTGGGAGGCTGTTGCATCGATGTGGGATGTGAAGATCTCCTAATACTAACACCAACTTGGCAGGTGTCATGACAGGAAAGAAAGAGGGTTACAGATGCTAGCTGAGAATCACTGGCAAGTGGAAAGCATTGCAATGTTCCTTTCAGTTTCACAACTTCATATTTTGATGTAAAAGCTACTAAAATAATGAAATGGTGATGGAAAATTGCTATATCAAGGAAAAAAAAAGGCCCCCACTAATGCAGAACATGATCCAAAGCAGAGGCCTTACAAACACAGCAGAAATGTGTTACTACTTGAAGTATTTTACACAAATTTGGGAACTACCATAAACCATCCCACTCCTGTAGGTTTTTTTATCCTTAAAAATATATAGGACATCTCTAGTACATGTTCTCAAGCACAGACCTGGCTAAATTGTGTCCACTTCCCTTTAAAACTCTTCATTCAAGTTTCTTTGTAATTTAACTAATTTCCATTTTCTTCCTTATTTAAATCAAAAAAAAAAGCAGCAAATTTGCAAATGTGTTAATAGCTGCTCAGAACAGGAAGCTGTTTGAGAGTCTGTATTGTAGGAACCACTGAACAACAGGGTAAGACTAATAGTTTACACAAAGAGGAAAAAAAAACCAGGGCCCTGCAGAGAAGACAGGCCAGGTTATGGCACAGAGTGCTTCTATAACCAGTTCTATCTTTTCATAGTTTGGGTAAAACAGATGCAAGTAGAATACAAACTTATTTGAGGCTTCAAAACTAAGGATTCAGATGAAGTAAGACCATAGTTTAACATCACAAGCTTTTAAATCTGCAAAGAAACAATGCTGCAAAGAAATAATTAATGCAAGCAACACAGCAATAAATTAATTATGCAAAAAGGGCACAAAAAGGTCTATAAAGGGTGGGATGTTAGGCCCCTGCACTGTAAAAACACTGGATCTAGAGACTCATCCCTGGGAATCTGATGTGCAGCTGCGTATCAAAAGAGATGGCTTATTTTCCACCCACAACACTGTTAGTTCCAAAGATGATCCCACCACGTGGGAGCAGCAGTTAACTATGCTAAGAAATCACCTCTTTTAATATTTTCTAAGTGTTTAGGCCATGCAGCCATCTTCACACTAACAGCCATCAAACACTGCAGAGGGAACTCGGGAGGGGTTCAGGTTCTGGCGTTTTTTAGAAGGAGAACATCTCAGTGCCACCATCAAAGCCACAGGGCTGGGGCAAACAGATGGCTGAAAGTATCAGCAAAGCAACAGGAGAGGTTTTTAATCAATGAGCTGCCAATTTAAATCTAACACAGGAAAAAGAAAGGACTCCTTTTTTATGGTCTTTCAAGAGTTCCCTGTTAAAATTACCCTTACTAGCATCAGTCCAGAGATTATGTACTTGAATACAAGTAAAAAATGGGTAACAAGTGATTTTGATGACTGAAGTGATATTAGATAGATTCTCTTACTGACACTGAAGGGACTTGGATGTGCAATACCCATTGTATAGTTAATGTTTAATAAAACTGTACCACCACTTAAAACACAACCCCACAGAAGTCACCAGGGTGTGCACATGCACCCAAGACAATTTCCCTTGCTGACAAACTGGCAGGCCCCACATTTTCCTCCAAATCACATTTGATCTCCTATTAACTAAAAGAAAAGCCTAGCAAGCTACAGTAACACAAAGAAATCAAAAGCACTGAAGTGTGTTTAATAATCACAGGTATCTGCAGCATAAAATAGTGGCAAAGAACGTTACGTTTGGATTTTGCTAGGAATTTAGGTGCAGTCTTGAGCATGGTTTGCACAGCAGCCCCTGATTCACGTGTACTATCTGACATTCGTATGATCTAGTAACATTAACGAGCCCTTACCACCGGTGTTAGCAACAGCCAAGAGGAGAAAACTTACTCTGTGCCCAGCCTTATTGGAATGGAGAAGTTGATTGCAGACAGGGGGGAATGAAAAACAGGGTGAAACATGATCAATGTTAAACAAAAGAAAGCAACAGAAAAGAAAAAATAGCCAAATGAATAGGCAAATAATAATTAATGAATTGTTGATGTTATGAAGAAGCGTTAAAAAATTACATTAATTCATTAAACGAAATTAAAAGCCGGCTCCTGCGCGCAGCCCACGGCGCGGCCTCCTCACCGACGGCGGGCCC